GGCGAGACCTTGAATATGACCATGAAACAGTGATGGCTCTCCATGTAGAAGGAATCCCGTCTTGAATGACTCACCCTGGCTGCACTGTCACATGAATGCTTGTCATTTTGTGCATTCATTTCACACATTCTCCACTCTGTCCTTTTCCACTTCTGCTCTTGTCCCCTTCTTGTATTCATTTCTCACCATTTCCTTTTAGATTTTCTACAGACTTATTCTCTCAACTGAATAATTCTTAAATGTCTTTGTAATTATGTCTGCCTGGTTCTTACATCCACTGAGTATTGGACTTTCATTTCATTATATAAAGTAGGAAAGGGGTCAGTTTCGGGAGTCATTACTGGTGGTTTACTGGAGTGTTTAGACATCAGTGGTTTGTGAGCAGGTGAAGCCTTTTAACCAAATGCCAGCTCCTGCACGTGTGCAATGTAGCAGTTGCTACTGGTGCAGAGATCAATCTGGACAGACATTGTGGCGTTGAGGGAGGGAGGAGAAACAAGCTTCCGATATCAGCCTGTCACAGCCAGGTAGATCAATCATGGCTGAGACCATGGGTAGCCTGTCCCCCTGGCTGGCTGTGATCCCAAATGAAATCCATCAATTGTCCATGTCAGGAATGTAACATAGCTGTGTGGACAGACATAGCCGAGAGTGTACAGCCTGCTCCAGCTACATTCTCTGTGTGTGTGTGTGTGTTTTATCTATCTATTGCTGCTTTATTAGCTCATACAAATATTCAAAGTCAACTATATGTCCTCAATAGTAGTAACACATTCTCCTAATCTGGGTGTCGCATCATGTCAGTGTTTTAATGTTAGTGTTTAATTTCTAACAGCTGCAAGGTATTGAATCAAAGAGGTGGCTGTTAAAATTCCAAGATTGTTAGCTACAAACTAGAGCTTTATAGAAGGCAGGAAATGTGGGCATTTTAACAAGCAAACTTGAGCCACAATTTGTCAGTCATCTCACATTTTTCTCTTTAACATGGTAATTTTTGAATCTGCACTTTGGCAGCTCTCACTGGGATTAATTCAGAGGGCAAGTGTATATGTGGAATTTAAATAAGTTGGAGTAAGAAAGACCAGCTCGTATGACCTACCTGCTGAAGTGTGTGTACAGCACTAGTCAGTGGCTGGTTAGCTACTGTGGGTAGCATTTTAGCAAAAAATATATATTAGTCTTTCAGATGGAACTCGGAAGTGTGAGAGAACCTGCCTTTACTTGGAACTGGATCACGCATGCATCAGTCGAACATTATTTAGTGATACATCGCTCACCTTGTAGAGATTTGCTGCGCTTTTTTTGTATCACAGATCAAAATTCCAAATTCCACTAAACATGAAATCCAGATTAAATTGAATAAAAAGGAAAATTCTCCAGTCAAGTAGCAGTCTTAAAAAGATGGCTCTTTAAAGCAACTTTAAAAGTTTCAGCTGAGCTCATTGTTCATATTGTTTGGAAGCTTGTTCCAAAGCCTATAGGAGCAGCACTGGCAAATGTTCTACTGCCCATAGTCATTAACCTCACTAACCTAGCATCTGGCACCGCAAGAAGAGCAGCGGATATAGAGCGCATGTTTCAAGTGGCGGTATAATAAGAGACTAAATCAGTCAAATACGTGAATGCTAGGCCATGTAGCCTTTAAACGCTAAAAGAAGAAGCTTAAACTGAATACGATAAGCGACTAGCAGCCAGTGCAGTTGTCTCAAAACTTTGATAGTTTTTTTTGCCAAGTGGCAGATATTGTAAATGTCACCTGGATAAGCATTTTCAAGGCTGCTGGAATTTGTCAGTTGTAGTAGGTTTGGCAGTGTGTGCTAACAGAATCCTGTTTGACAAATATCTGTAAAAATGTTATGGCTTCCATGTCATTCAATTTTCTAGGCTGCATCCATAATAAATCTGGACATGCTCTCAGTGAAAAGCTGTGCACATTTTGTCACAGACAAACATGTAATACTGAGCAAGTGGTGTTTGTTTTTCTTCCAGATGATTCTACTTTTAGCCAAATAACACAGCTGTTCAGTAATTCCCCCTTTTGCCAGGCAGTGTAATACATCCGTGTGTCCTACTGTGTAATTTTAGTTCTTAACTGCAGCAGTATGCCTCCACTGGGAAGCTGCAATCTCTGCTCGCACATCTTTGTTTGTTGTATGCACGATGCATATTTGAATTAAAATAAATGACAATATATATATGAATACACAGCGAGTGCCAGTTATTGTCTGACGTGCTCATATAGCCAGACTAATATACAGTCACCTAACAGTAATAACCCCATGTTAGAAATACCATTAAAAAGAAACAAGCTTTGTTTCCTCTGTCTACCATTGGCTTGTTCACTAACTCTGTAACTTGTAGGGGCCACGTGTTCCCCAGGATAATGTCAGTTATTAATCAGGCTTTTAGGACAGATGAGACAGAACTGCCTCTGAGGTGATGGGTCACTTTGCCATGCAACAAGTGGACTATGAATACAAATATGGTCTATTTATCTTGGGCACAAACAGGACATGCTCTCAAATATAATGGATTTTCAGATGCATTCAAAGTTTTGTCTTTGGTCGGGTGTGTGGAAATTACGGAAAAGGTGAATTTTGTGTTCAATGAAATTGCTGTTGAAAAGTTAATTACAACAAGGTCAGTTCAGCCTATTTCTGAATACTTAGTACATTTATGTTCTTTCTCTACTGCTAATGTCATTAAACAATCGGTCCATATATGAACAGGGAATTATTTTGTACAAAATCAAGCTTAAAAGCACATCACACATTTCACAGCACCGTATTGTTATTATCAAGAAACAACACATACTGCATGTTTATATATTCTAACTATTGCCATTCATAAAATGCTGTGAAAAAAGTTGGAAATGTTACAGTAAAAACACTTCTCCTCTTTACAGGCCCTGCTGAGTCAAACTGTAGGAAATAGAACTGATGCTTCGAAGTGTTTGGCCATATGGTTAGTTATGCAGTCCAATTCTTAGGATATTAGATTTTTAAAACAAAACACCTTTTTAGCATATAATTCTCATAAAAGAGATGAACTATGGCTAAAGGTATTGTACACTTGTTTGTAAGGCCAGAGTCCAGCAGGTTAGCATTTCCTCTTCCGTGGACTTGCAAGTGATTCAGACCGTTTGATTGAGCAGTTTTCACACATGCTATAGGCTTTGAGTTTGTTTTTATCCTCATTCCCCTGACATACGTTAGACATGCCTGAGAATTAGTCATTCCAGGAACCAGTGTGCTCTTCTCTGGCTCCACCAGGATTGTTGACATTGGCTCATGATCAGTAAAGGAGCATCTTTCTTGATGCTGAGTTTGCTTCTGACTCACTTGATCTGATTCTGATCCAGCGCTACTGGAGGGTTTTTTTTTTTTTTTGTGCAGCTTGTCTAGTAAGCACTCGGATGCTGGTGAGCCTAGTTATGGCAACACACAAACATGTAGAATGCAGACACACAGGCTACATACTTTACTAAACAGTAATCTGTAGCACCCAACAAAATCTGTTAGTGTTTTTCAGTTCTATAATTTTGGCATTTTGATGGAGTCTGTCCTCTACTTATTGATTGTTATAGGTAATGTGAGAATCAATTCAGTTCAGTTCATTAAGCTTTATTGGCATGACCGCTTGCATATACAGTATTGCCTAAGCATTACCATTCCAATTACAGGTATATAAATACATTTGTAAGTATCACAATTAATAGAAAAAGACAAATTGTTTATGTAATTAGTTAATTAAAATATAGGAAAACAATAATGTAGGCTATTGTAGAAAAAATATGTAGAAAACTAAAAGTGGCAGAGAAATCTCTGGTGTTTGTTTTGGGTCAGTAGTTACGGATGGTCAAAATTCTTAGAGTTCAGCTACAAACATAGTTAATACTGTACAGAGTCAACTAGAGTAGGATGGAAATATATTCTGTAATCACTAATTTGCATTTTTTTTCCTTGTCCATCATCACTTAACATTTGTGAAACAGTTTCAAAATATTTTCTTAGCAGCTACTTGAATATCTCTGACAAAGCATGGACATCTACAGAACATTGCTAATATGAAAGTAACTTTATCTACAGAGATTATGGTCTGAAGTGTTTGCCTGGAACATTTTTAGGCTTTCCTTTTGTAACTGACAGCTGAAATTAAAATTAGATTTTGTGTTTATTTCATTATCTAAATCGTGTATTTAAAAAAAACAAAACAAAAAGGCACAATTTGACTTAAAATAAAAAAGTGTCTTTATAATAGATTTATATTTAACGGTAAACTATCTACTCTGCTTCATGTTTTTTTTTTTAGTATTCAAACTTTATTCCCACATTGAACCTACCATCGCACTATGGGTGGGTGTCCTGTATACACAGTGTGTCTTGAACACCTAAATGAAGACTTCTGATTAACTTCAGATCTTTAACGACAACAGAATGAGAAGAAACAAGATGATTTCAGGCCTCTGGGCGGGTCACACGGCCCTTTGTGGCGTTTTGGGTCTAAGGGCTGGGTTATACCACACTGCCTGGCCACATTAATAAATACACCTGTACAGTTGTATGCAATTCAGTGCAACACTTCCACTTTAACATCTGTGTTTATGAAGCTCAAAATGTTTCAGATTTTGGTGAAATTCTCATAAATGTATAAATTCTATTCTTCTTCTTCTACTTTCGGCTGTTCCCGTTAGGGGTCGCCTCAGCGAATCATCATTTCCCACTGAACTGACGACATGCATGTTAAACTTGGCACGTTTTAAATGTATAAATTCAATTAATAGTTTATTATTAAGGTCAGAGTTAAAGGCTGTGTTGTACTGGACTACATTATATTCAGAGGTGTCTTTATATTTGTTTGTCCTCAGCTACATACACGAGAGGGCCAGAATATTAGGAACACCTCTGAATATAATGTCCATAGATATGAAATTATTCACTGCAGTGTAGGTTCAGCATGTGTAATAAATCAGTGTAATCTTATTTCCTATCTGGGTGCAGGAGTGGAAGGCATGGAGTGCTCCCTCCCCATGGATGGCAGACGCATATCTCTGGCCCAGCTTTCAAAGGACAGCTTTCGTGAGTGCCAGGCCACGCTAACTCTAACAGATCTGCTCATCATCATTTTCTCTGGCATCTCAGTGTCTGTGGTGGCCATCATGACAAGCTTCTTTCTGGCCTCAACTGTTCATTGCTTCCAGCGCTGGAGTAAAGGTACCAAGGGGGATGAGGAGGAGAGTGAGGAGTGACAAGGATGTACCTTTAAGGGCCTGGGTGGTTCTGGTACTTCAAACAATACAAGGACACAGCAGACTGTGTGTGCGTGACATGTGGCAAGCTTCCTCCCTGGTGAATATGCAGGACTGTTTAAGGGTAGGACCTTCTGCCAGTGGCACAGGTGAAGTTATCTTTGCACATGGACATTTGAAATATGGTAACAAAGGACGTTCCCAAGGTATAAGCCAAAGTCCCAGTAAAAATTTATGTGTTCCCTGCCCCACTCAAGAGAGTTTGTATTTTTGGCTAATGGCTTCTAGCACAGTGTTACAGGCCTACACAAATATAGTAAGGCTAACACCTTTTATTAAGTGTTGCGGCAGTGCTGTCTCGTTAGTCTTAGACAAGCCAATAATTAAATAACGTCTGATATCATGGACATCAAACTGAGTCTAAAGTTCTGTCAAGTGTCATGACAGTTAGCATTGCCTTTTAGATGATTTTCACTGGGAATTTATCTGTGTAAGGCACTTAGGTTGATCCCATAAAAAAGGGATGCCATATCAACCAGCAACCTCAGTATTTAACTGGATCATGAATCATGATATGCTGGCATATCCTGCCATTTACAATGTCATTTTTTGGACAGCCTCACCCACTGACTTTCGAAAATGGTTCGCAAGTACTGGTGTTCCTTCTGCATGTGAAGTTAGACAGTGACAAAAGTGTCAGTCAAACAGGAAGGATTTGGACAATGGTCTACACGCTTTTTTAGCAGTATAGTCATTATATAATCACAAATTAATGTACAAAAGAAAACAATGTACAGTCAAACAATCGATGAGGATATACTTACTGTATGTTCCTTATATTGATAACTGTATAGAAAAGATTTCATAAAATATCCACACTATTATCTTGAAAATTATGGAGAATTCAGTATTAAAATAGAATCTATGTAGAACTATTGTGTCAAATAATGCACTTTACATGGTAAACCTAATTTTGGCAAGCCCCTAATTACACCATGTAGACTGGTTTAGTCTTCATCTGCCAAAGATTAGCTTTAGGTGAAGGGGAGATTGTTGTGGATGAAGTGTTATTTAGTGAGGTAGGGATAGCTCCTAAATAGAAAACAAATCACACTCTGTATACACATATTGTACTCAGTCCAATAGTTATGGTCGCCAAAGCTTTGCATTTTCCTCTGCTCTGTCTCTGAACCAGCCTTCCTTTGGCAACAGCCAGGTCAGCTCAGAACACTGAGTTCTTAACTGTAAGAGGGTGGTGAGCGAGCGGTTAGTTTCTTGAGGAATAAATCCGCTTTGTAAGTGTGACATAACATTCCACTTCTGGGTCCAAACTCCCCCAGAACCAAATGGCGGAGTCTGTCACCCTCTACACAGCATAATTTTTTTTTTCCAGTGTTGCTGTTCCACCTGGTGGCATAATAATCAAACTTATTACACATCGTAGTAAATTTATTCCAATAGATAGTGATATAGTGGTATATATTGCTATATATAACGAGTTATAAGTCTAACTTGTTTATAATAGCTCCCAGCTTTTACTGTTACTTTCATCAGCGTAAAATGTGCCAGTGTATAGTGTTTGCATTAACGTCGTGCTCACTGGCTATTCAACGTTACATTACAAGGCACCTTTAGAAGCTTTATTCTTATTAATTAAAGAATACTGTGACTTATCTAATCAACTGTAGCCATTTCTTTTTCTCCTTCCCATCACAGGAAGTTGTAAAATGAAAGCTGACCCATGGTTTTTGATTCAGATCTACTGAAACAATGGGGAAAAACAACACTGTGGCATATGAAGGGGAGCACGAACCAGAGTTGGGACCCAGAAACAGAATGTTACGTCACCACTTGACAAGCAGATAGACATCAACTATTGTGTTTAACAAATCTCACAGTTAACTTATTGTCATTTTACTAAAGAGTTTGCAACATTGTGTAGTAAAGCTGCTGATTTGATATCCTGGAAAAGACTTATCAAGACTTGGACTGTATCAGCATCTCCATTCACTAGAGCAACAGTATAGTACAATCTAAATTAAATCAAGTAGTGGCCTGAATTTCATGGGCTTCAGTTCATTTGCATCCTGTAATTTTAAATTTGAGTCCTCCTTGATTAGTATATGGAATGCACTAAGCTGGACTGCATTTTGTCCCCCCTAAGCTAAGGTTTGTTGGTCACATTGCTTCTCACATTTTGCAAGGCATGAATAATTCAGCGAAATTGAGACATGAAGCAGAAAGAATGTCAAGCCTCTAAATGCAAACAAGCAGAGGATAGAAAAAGAGCCATGAGCAAATGGGGTCGTCTTTTCTGTGTGGTTAACAAAAGATAAAAAGGAATCCCAAATGCCTGTGCCCCATTAGGACAAGTTATAACCCTGAATGTGCAGTGCACTGAAGCACATTTTGCAGAAGTGACAAAAAATAAATGTAGCCTTATTTATTTTTGTTATTTTTTTATTAGTAAAAGCACAGATATTTTACAGGAAATTCTAGTACACTCTTTTCAATCACACCCTACGTTGGTACCAGCCAGTGTTGTACACCGTATGTATTCATTCATGTGTTGTCACATGTTGTGTGGACAGTGCTACATCCTTATAAATGGATTTGTACTGTATATATGTTGTGTGTTTGCCAGAACTCAAACCACGTGGGACACCCGGAAGATGCATCCCCATTGGAAATTAATTTCTAACAGCCAGTTGACCTTTCACTAAACTCCTCCCCCGAACATCAGTTGTCCAAGCATAGCTTAATAAATGTAACGTATGCATCTCAGCATCTCAGCGTCTCAGCATCTCAGCATCTCAGCATCTCAGCAGGCCTGTGAAGCTTTGAATTTCTTCACGTGTCTCCAGAGTGGAGGTAGCCGGGTTTTTTTTTTTGTTTTTTTGAAGCCTTTCAAAATCCTAAATCTAATGTACAGTAAGCTGCAATATAAGCACAGTTTACTACCTACAGTAATAATCAAGCATTGCTACCTTATTTTGTGAGGGTTACATTGATACCTGTTCAGGATTAATGGTGTATTCACATTATAACAGAAAAAAGGCTTTTGCTTGCGCCTCGCATTATTGTGTATGTGGTGCACCACCCAGACTCTGCATGGATGTCCGTGGTAGGCAGCACGGAGCAGGGGTGCGTCTAAATTTCAAATTGAATTTGTTGACCTTTGACCTCAGTTACGCTGACCTTTTTCCATGTAGCCAATCACTGCTTTAACTAATGTTCATTTTGTACAATGCCTCTGAGACTTTCTACTTGAGTTTCTGCGCCGACCAGCTTGAAACACTCAGCACAAGACCCTTTTTTTTTTTTTTTTTAAAGCATGCAATGTTTGATCCAAAATACTGTTCCATCAGAATTCAGAGTAAGGCTAACAGCTTAGTCCTGCCCTTCATTTATTCTGGGGAAGCTGACACTCCAGCATCTCTTGGCCAATTTGCATTAGATATCAATTGCATTTGTCAAGATCATAGATAAAGCCTTATCCTTAAATCCTTATATATTTTAAAAATCTGAGCAATAAATCACAGCCCAAATCTGACCATTATATTTCTTATCCAAGAATGTTTTTTTCTATATTAAGCATCTGAACAATTCAAGCGTTATGTTAGCATTAGTAGCACTGTAATTATAGTTTGGATTTTTAATACAACTCTGCAATACTGGGGCTAACTAGCTTTATCCTGAATTACACAAACAGTGCTACTTTATTTATATGTCTTGTACTGTACATGGATTAACAGTTGGGATGGATGCTGATGTTCATGTTTGGGACATACAGGTTTCGCTTCAGTATTTTAGCATTATATTATGCACACAGCCGTCAAGAACACATTTAAGACCTTTTATAGGGTTCTCATTTTAAAACATGTACCTTGGAAACAAAACTACATAGAAACAAGGTTTTCATCCAACATGTGAAATGTAATATTTTAGCACTTTACATTAGCCAGCTACAGCTGATTAAAATCTACTAGAGGAACTCAGTCAACGAAATCCACAGTGACGGCTAGAAATGAGATGCCTGCTTTTGTTTACTTCTGTGTGGAATTGAAGATCTGTTGTTTCAGAAATTACGGTGAATTATGAGTGGTAAATCTGCCGCCATTACCATTGTAAATTGAAGATGTGCAAGCTATGGTTTGTCAGTCATAACCACAGCAACTAATGGGGCCAGGGCTTGGTGAACAGTCACTTCAGATTAAGTTCAGTCCCACAGGAGAATCCCACTGAATTTCAGATCTGGATTCTGCCATTCCTGTTTCTTATGACAGTTTGGTCAGTAATAGTGAACTACACCTAACCCTATACAGCCAGAGCGGAGGTGCCTTCAGTTTTATGTTTGCATGGAGAGAATTAGGATATGGATGGGACATTTAGGAACTCAACTACCAGGAAAAAAACACCCCAAAATTCTGAGTTGAAAAAGCAACAAGTTATGTTCATGAAAAAAATAATTAAACATTTGACTACTTCATACCACAAGAATAGCTACAATGTTAATTGGGCTATATTAAGTGGTTTTTCCCTTTAACAGACGAGAAACTGCTTTCTTAACTGATATCTGAAGTTGCAGACCAGAGTCAAGGGATCAGAGGAAGTGTTTTATAGACATATCATAATAATTTCTAACTACTGTGTAGTTACTATATATTAACAAATTATTGTTAGCTTAGCTGTTAGCTTGAGGCATACATTAGCATGACCCTTTCCTTTCTCTTTCTCATTTTATTACATAACAATTATCAGCACATTAGAGCATGCAATGTTGAGTTTCTTACAGTATAAAGTTCAGATTCACGTCTATTTTTCTATTAAACCTTTTAGAATGAAGCATTTAGCAGTGCACACCCAAGAGAGCAAACACACTGATTGCTATTTGCCTATAGTTTGTCCTGATGTTGTTTAAAATGCCTAAATCCATGTTGTTTTGTCAAATAAATGTCAGAATGGCTCTAGTCTAAATTAAGTGACAGAGGAGAGTGTGATGTTGTTGCTGCAGCTCAGTGCATTTCCAGAGACACTGTCAAATAGACCATATGTGTAGCTGTACATTGATGTTTGGTTAAAAATAAAATAAAATATAATCCTTTTTTCTGTTCTCTGGTCTGTATTTGTTAAGGACGTGTAGATCAGTGTTTAAATATTCAAAAAGAAGCATGGTGATCATTTATTATTCAAATATGGTTAAATACATTGTGCATAAACATGGTGCAGACCAAACCTACACAGAGAAGGCAATAATATTTAAAGTTGAAGATCAGTACTATTTTCCTTTAATCAAGCGGTGCCTTGCAAGCAGTGAGTGTGACACAGTGGCAATGTGGTTCTTACCAAGTGACACCTACTGCAAAGTGTTAATAATACCTGTTCCCCTCATTTCCCAGAGTTGGCAGTTTTTGTCTTGTTGCAGCAGCAAATGAAAGAGGCTCATCTGTAAACGCTGCATAGTGTTATTTCACACACCACTGTCATCACACTGCAGGTATGCAAATGGCTGCACTATTTTTGGTGAGGGTGTTAGAAAAATTACAGACAGACAAAAAAATTAAATAACATCCACTCACATAACAAGTATCCACCCTGTTAGTGGACGAACCAAGGCAGATGAAAATTAAATGGCATGCAAAGCAATCTCATCGCAGAAAGACTGCTTCCCTGCTCGTCTCCGCTGTTTTGCAGTGTCAGTTTCTTTTGCTCCTATGAGATGCTGCATGGAGGAGTTACTTCTTTGGTTGACCTAGGTTTGTGTGTCTCTTTCCATCTCACATGCTGATGATTCATTTCTCAACATGTCTTTAATGTCAAACTGTGAGAATGTAGGAAGTGGTCTAACATTGTAGAATGCTTTTCTGAAGAAATACAAGTTAAAGAATCACATGATGAAAATCACTCACTCTCAGGGCATGTGCTGTAGACTAAAAAGAAAGCAGTCATGGCACACACCAGACATTGAGCAATGAATGATTTATATTTGCAATTCCAAACAGGAATCATGTTGGATGGTGAACAGCTTGTGAGAAAGACTTGCACATACTACATTTGTGCACCACTGAAAAGAGGCCTGTGAGGATGGTGGTCGTGATGAGGATTCTCCTGCAACCATTTACCTCATTTGGTTGTCATGACTACACAGCCGGAGGCCTGAGCTCTTGGACACCGAGGCGGGAACGTGGAGAGGGAGGGATGCTGGGAAGCATGGTCCTCAGTGTGGATGCCTCACCTCTCTTTCCATGCATCAGCTAACCAAACCTGGCATTTAAGAAAAAAACTGTTGCAGCTTCATTGCCCTGTGAACTAATATTTATTTTCCCTTTTTGATTTGTCTGCATCAGACATTGTAAGGTAAGTCAGATAAGGATATCATGTCATGACATTACTAATCAATGCCAATAAATTGCTTCTGCTGAGCTTCTGTGACTGAAAAACCGTAGTGTAACTTGTATGAGTGATTATAGCTGCACTTTGCCAAAGTATTCCATTATATTGAGAGAAAATGCATATTTTACCAATTATAACAAACAATTATTTAAAAATTGTCTGCATAAGGTGACTTACTGCAAAAGATTTAACACCACAAGTAACCACTTTATCCAGAAAACACAGAGTAAATGAACAATCAAGTTCAAGGGCATTTCCACTCTATAACAACTGAATCATGGCCTTCAGTTAATGAAGAATCAGATGAATAAAATGGGTGAATTGTGTTTTGGAAATTAATCATTTATTTATTTGTTTACAATTGTCTCTCTACAAAGACAGGAAGCAAACAGGGCAGAGTAAAGTAAGCCAACCCTCAGAGAGGAAGCTTTGAATGAATAATGGCCCAGTGGCTTACAGCTGGTTTATGGTTTGTAGAGGACTGGGCAGCAGAGGGGTCAGGTTGCAGAGCTCGAAAGGAGCCGGTCCGAATGCTTCTGTCTGTCTGTGTAATTGCAGAAGGGTCACTAAGTTTAAAGAAGCGGGGATTTTGTTGGTGAGACACTGACAGATGGAGAGATTGATTTCAAAACTGTGGTGTCCTTTTTCACTCTTACTTTTCCTTTTGATGTTTTAGAATTCTAGCATCTATTCTCACAAAATGTACCCAAATGTTTTTCTGGCCAATAGTGTCTTCCAGTTTAGTTTAGTTTTGTTTTTTGGAAGTTATTTTCTTTTGTTCTCCATTTTCTGTCAAGATACTGACTTGTGAGTCATTTCTGGCTTTCAGTGCATTAGGAATCACTAGTTGTTAAAGGGGGACTTAAGAGATTTAATATTAAGCTAATTGGTGGACTCAAAAGGAGCCAGATTAAACAGTGATTGATCAGAGCAGGAAAGGCTGAGATATCCTTTAATCCCCAAAAGACATCATTTGTGACCTGCCTGGTCACAATGTTTGGCAGCAGCACTGAAGTCAAATATCTTTCAAAGCAGTAAGGGTGAGAGGTGAATCGGGGCCACCGTAGCCGTGGGCAACCATGAACATCAATGCATGCTTCTGGGAAACTGCTTATTCACTGCATCACAACTAAGGCTGGCAGGTCAGGTCAATTACCTTCGAATATTCTTTATATACAGGAAAACCCACACAGTATGCCATATATCTGAAGATGGATGTGGAAACAAACATTTGCTGCATGTTCATCATCAGCAGTTCTTTCAAGGCCCATTGTTCAGATCAGGCTTGAGTTACTGTGTGTCAGAACTCTGGACGATTAGTTATTTACAGTGATGGATGTTTTATTACTGTGGGATATTAAGCATTAGTATCTAGTCAGCAGAAATAGATGTCAAACATCACACTCAATATAGAAATATAACCTAATTAGATGCTGTAGTTTGTATTGCAGACATTTGATAAACTGAAACATTATTTCTGTTAATGTTTATTTATTCCTGTGATATTTCATTATTTTTCAGCTGAGAGAGAAACTATGCAAATCTGTTAGAGAATCACATCAGCCTGTGACTGATGTTTGTTGATTTTGAGAAATAAATCTAGCAATAAATCTGTGAAAAGCCAAAGTAAAAGTCTTATGATGGCTCAGTAAAAAGTACAGGATTTCTACATAAGTGGTTAAATAACAATAGTAAATAAATAAATGTTTAGTGTAATCACCCAGTGAGGAATCCTGGAGTCTTAAATCACCCTGTGTGTAACTGGAGAAATTAATCCAGCACAGCAAACACATTAAAATGAATGAGGGAAATGTAAGCTGTAGCACCAAGTGGCAGGAGAGGATGGATCTAGACATCGCTCAGACTGACCTGGCTCAGGCCTAATGAGGTCAATATATACCATATTCAACAAATTCTCAGCAAAATGTTACATTTGTATGAAGCATCACCGCTAACCCAGTGAGCAGATTCATTTATGACCTGAAGTTAAATTATGGCATCAGTAAATAGTGGAGGAAGCTGTGCAAACTAACAATAGGTCGGGAGCATCTGGATGCATTTTCACCTACTCATTTGTCATGTTTGTGTCACAATTATGTGCCATGGAAAACCACTAAGGCGTAAAGTATATACAGCATATTTATTGACTTTGTATTTAATACAGGCTTGCTATTTGTGCCATTTTACATAATTGTAAAATAAACCAATCTTACCAACCTAAATAATGAAATGTTAATCTTCTTTGTTTCACTTCTAGTGTCAATTGTAGACAGTTTTAACCATAAACCAGCTATCACTTTACAAAAGAGTACTGAATATTGAAGTTCCCATAAAAAGAAAAAAGTAATAGTACTATGTTACTTGCATAGGCTCAGGACTTTTAAACCAATTATAACTTATAGTATCTGCTCTTTCAGTTGTGTCAACAATTGATGAATTGAAAATGTTAAAGTGGATTTACTAGGACAGCTGGAAAAAGAGTAAACATGATAGCAAGAAACTATAAATCAGAGAACACTGTATTTTGGTGATATTGTATAAATAAATATAAGCTTGCATATGGCCTACTTAGACACTGAAGATAAATTAAGCTGAGGTAGCAACAAAGTGCTGCAAAATAAATGGAACAAAAGAAGCCTGAAGACAGGCCACATTTGTTCTTTTCTGCACTTCACTCAGTGGAACATCCTCACTGTTTGCACTTCCCTTTCACAACAACAAGACAAAGTCGTAGCTTAAAAATACTGTCTGTAGTATTTTCCATGCTTTGATGACAGGGCTGTTGCTCATGTTAAATCATTTACCATGGGATGAATTGTTGCTGATCGATTAAATGATACAGCCTATCCTCATCCTTCAGAGTTTCCTCCTGGCCCAAGAGTTCATACACAACACAGCTAAAGGATGGAGTGGAAAAAAACAGATGTATTCACCTGGAAAAGGTCAACCTTGTTTGTTCTTCATTGCATCCTCGTGTCAAAGTTAATACAGGCCAAAGGAGGGGACATATGGGGAGTGGACAGACAAGATAATACACTCAGGCAATACATTGGGATATCCATATTTCTATAGCATATGTCTAATAACCTACAGTGATAAAACAGAGGTGATGATGCAGATAAATGGTTTCTATGGGCACAATACAGGGTCACAAAGATTTGTAGCTTGTAAAAACATTTTGAGCATGTTCAGAAAGCATTTGTACTTGTAAAAACGTTTTTGAATGTGTGACTAAAATTATGTTCACACAAAGACACTGAAAGTAAGTATGTTTGTGGACAACTGTACAAATAGAAAGGAGCAAAATGCAGATATACAGGGTCACACATCAGATTCCGAAACTTTTTACACCTGAATCTTATTGGTCAATGACAGTCCAATCACAGACAGAGTACAATTGTCCAATCAGAGGGCGGTTGGGTCCTTAAGTTTGGTATCCGCCATGGTTTCTGTAAGTTTGGTTGGAGCAAGATTTCAAGATGGATGACGGCGCGGGACTTTCGGCTACACAGGTGGGTAACGTTAGAAAATGTTACAAAATGTATACATTTTATATATTGCGTTCGGTACCTATGCAGCGCGCAGGGGCTTCGTTGTTATTTTAAGGAAACGCAGTTGTCCAAACATATATTTTCTAGTTCAGGTGGAATACTTTAGCATGTCTAGCGTTAGCCGGAATTTAATGCTAATGTATCACGTTAGCAAACCCGTGCTAGCAAGGAAAGGTTTATGTTAGCCCTCTAGTACACGTTTGCTTTGCTTGAGAGTGTTCACCATCAGGCAAGTCGTTAAACCTGGCTTCTTAATTTAGGAAAAATTGCTATGACTAACTTGTTTCCTGTTGGATGTGCAGTCTTGCAGATGAAAGTTCTTCTAACATTAGTTTTACCTGCTCATTAATGACAGTTAATCGTTGCGGTAAATTTTTGCTTTTAATATATATTAATATATCTAGCTAAATATTAGGTGGAATTTGATTTTCACCCTGTGTTAGTAACTTAACGGGCACAGCAGTGCAGGTAACTCTCCCAGCAGTCTAATTAGCAAAGCTCAGTGCAGAAATAGCTGGTGCTGATTGTTACTGCGGTCAAATCAGCCGCCGTTCAGTTTTCCGTGGTCAAGCCAGCGGCGCTAGAATTTGAAGTGCGCCTATATACTCTATATACTTACATTTACGGTAAAGGTATTGAAACGGGCCAAAGCTCGCGATTTTCAAAATAAAATACCTTAACTCCAATGCTGTATTATTTATGAACTTTCAAATTTAATAAAAACACTTTTTTAAAATATTTACAGCATAAGGACATCATTTATGGATTCTACATGACCCGCACTGTTACCACACAAAGAATCAAGCATTTCTACTGTACCATTCTGGAGAAAACTCACATTCCATGTGCAAGATTTGAAATCCAATACTGGATTTAGCAGGCGCTTGATGAGAAGGTGCCGTGGACACAGAAGCTGTGTGAGAGGTGGAAAGGGGAGGGGAGTGGTCGCGGATGCAGGTGAAGAGTTCGCCTCTCCCAGATGGAGTGGACGATGGGAGGGTTGGCCCACTTAGTAAACTATTAAGTTATTGACACCTTGACTCTCTTCCAAACAATGCACATTTCATTCATAATAATATAAACACACACCTAACATTTGCAATTTTTTGTTTCTCCCAAATTGTGTGAAATTGTTAATACAATAAAAATAGGTAATACAAGCATTGGAGTCACATCTGTAATGTGAGTTTTCTCCAGAATGGTACAGTAGAAATGC